AAAAGCCGAAACAAACTTGAAAGAATCTTTTTATACAGGTCGAACATCAATCATGCAAGTTCGAATCGGTTTTAGAACTTGTTGCATTCATGTTTTCGGAAACCAGGCGACTTCCTTCCTTGAACGCTACCCGTATCTCTGTTTCTTCGCCGGAGATCTTTTGCGCGAATAAACGTTTTCTCGCGGCTGCTTTCGTTCCTTTACGTCGCGGAAAGTAGTCCGCGAAAAGTCTTATCGTCGATAAACGCTGAACTACGAGACCTCTGATTGAAATTAGACACGACACAATTATCGGGGACAATTATACGATCGTCTGTACAAAGCAAACCAATTATAATTCTCCGCAGATCCAAGTCTCCGACATGATTTATTATTTTTCTCTCTCTCCCTTGCATCAATAATAATACACAGGTTACTCTCGACCAAGATATACGTAACATCCACCTAGGCGACGTCAAAAGGGTGTTAACGTCGACGTTACTTCGACTTTGCTTATTTCTCCACATAGAGGTGAACGATCGACGGCGGACGCGCAATTAGCGGTGGTGGGGTTATTTTTTCGTAACGACGGACAGCGAATATAGACACGTCGCGGCGTGCGATGATGACGACGAGGTGCGACGAGGAGTGCGCGCACCGGGGGGGACGGAGACACGGGTTGTAGAGGTGAAAGTAATTATTTGCGTCCGTCGATTGGCAGCGACAAGTACGACGACGGGGAGCACACGTGCGAGGAGCCGCTTCGTTCTCGATACACTCTCCCGATCGGTCGGTCGGTCGGTCGCTCGTTCGCCTGCTCGCTCGTTCTCGCTCGATGCGTTACGGTATTTTTAGCGGGCGCGTAGACTCGCGCGTAGGCAGTCCCCGGCGGCAACCTCGGGCGGCGGACTGACGTCCTAATGACTCCCGTTTCTTCGATCTCAACCGCCAACCTCTCGTTACCGTGCCTCGCGGAAAAGCGATAATCGCGAAATGTCGGGGTTCCTCGCTATTATTACGTGCAAATCCGATTCTATCCCTTCAAAGCGGGTGACAATGAGAACGGGATGGAAACTAATTCTCTCTCTCTCTCTTTCTCTCTCTCCCTCTGTTGATCGCTTTTCATTGGAACTTCGTAGGATAAATGTCATGTTGCTTTGATCTTTAAACTTTTCCTCTCTTTCTCAGCAATAATTAAAATAGAAATGAATCTCCCCGTGGAACAACAGCCTCGAGTTCGACGAACTTTTTTATTCAATTTTATTAAGTTAACTTGATATTATATTAATTTAGTATTATTTTAAAGTTAACCTTTAAGTTAATTATATATTAACTTTATCTATTTCAAGTTCAATTAATTAAATTTTTTTACACTTTTTACGTAGGGATAAGTCGCATGACACGAATGTCTGGTGAACGCGAATGGTTTCGACTGACGGGAGCGTTTCCTCGAAATTGCACAAACAAAAAATGCTGTCGAATCAGTAGTATATTTTCAACAGAGCGTAAGTGGAGTAAATCTTCCTAATTCAAATGCAATATTATTGAAACTGGTACATCACGTGTACATTACTCCAATAACTTGAATCTTAGGATCTCTTTCGCTAAACTAGTATCGTAGAATTATAGAATTTAAAAAAGTCAGGCATACAATTAACATTTGGTAAGAAAAAGAGAAAAAAGAACAGTAACAGAAGCTAATTCAGCGAAAAAGAACAGACCTTTGATTTCAACGATATTGCTATTAAGTCAAGAAGATTTACTCCAATTGCGCGCGCGCTGTTGGAAATCCTATTATAGGTTCAACAGCATTTCTCGTCCGCGTACGAACGCGCGTTCATGATGTCTCTCACGAATACAATACTCGCGGAATTCTGATTCACGCACGCACGACTGACGCTACTTCCACTGATACCGTCATCGCCCTCGTCGGGGATGACTAACGCTGCGGATTTACCGTTCGATTAACACGGTCAATCGCACAATGCTCCTTCGCGCACTCTTTCTCCTTCTTGTCGGTCTCTGTCCCTCTAACGAAGGTCGGTCTACCCGACCGAGTGTGACGTATTTAAGGATGTACAACCGTGACATCACGAGGCGTGCACAGAGCATCGTGACGTTCATGATTCACGTTGGTATTATTAAGTGTCGTTATTCTCGGTGCGCCGCATGCTCAAAAACGGCCCGGGTGGGCCACTACGAAATTGGCCGCCGGCGCGTCCGCGAGATACGCTCTCCGCGCGAGAAGCGCGCTCGCTACATTGTCGCGCGAGATAACGGCGACGAGAGAAAATTCGTATCGCGGTCTGAAAAGGCCAGTCCTCCTACTCGGTTGCACTTTCCTGCCGAGTTTCTGTGTCCCAAGTAGAACAGGTGCGTCTACAATGGTACGAAGGCGGAAGCTGCCGCCGAGACGGACAGAAAACGGTTACATAGACGTGTCGGAACTGTCGAGGCTAACTTTCTGCTTGGCGGATGTCTGTATTCGCATTTGTGCGAATTTGTCGTCTGATATAATCGGAGTGATATATATATGTAATATAATAATTGTCACCAATCATAGTGAATTTCGTGGATAGCAACTATTTCCTGTTAAAAGATTACGTATACCCAAGCGATTCGAAGAAACGCCTGATATTTGAATTTTTCTGCTGTTTCCACATTATTGACTTTATGAAGATATCCTTTTGAGAGACGATTCTTTTCACGCTATTATTTATATATTATACGAAGCCTATTACAAAAAGTTAATGTATTACGCTGTTATTACTGCTCTCATGAAGCTTGTCACCGCTAATCGGTACTAAAAATATCTCGGAAACTATCCGACCGATTTAGCTGAAGTTTTGCCTTTTTTTTATATTCAATCTAGTTTTCTCACAAACGAAAAGAGGAGAAATTTCGTGACGAGAAATGAGACTTGTGCCTTCGAATGTTAATAACTTTATGAAAAATTAATATTTTAAACATCGGCTACGACGAAGACTAGATAATCTGACTAAAAATATCTGTGCGAAATTACAATGAAAGCAGCCCAATAGTTATCGAGATATTTCAAGTGTGCGATTCGCAATAACGAGTTTCATGGAAACAGTAATAAACAGTAATAAAAGCGTTGTATATCAACTTTTTGTGATGGGCTTCATGTCAATATGTAAATGAAGGTATTGAAAAATCAGTCTTCCAAAGAATATCTTCGTAAAGCCAATAATGTGGTCAGCAGAAAAACTCAAACATGGATGTTTGCCGAGCCGCTTAACGTATTATCGAATTTAAGGTAAAAATACCGATACCTGTACAACACGTACCTAACTGTGAACATTCTTGTTCTTTCGATCTCCAAATAAATATTCATATATTGAATATCTACAAACATTTCATATTTAAGATTAAATATTCATGTTTAAGAAGCAAAATAACAAGAACGTCCAAAATTAGGTACGTGCGCGAGCATTGTTACTTTTACCTTAATTCACGCGCGATGTAATGCAAGCGCCTTGACCGAATTACCCACAATGTAGCGCCAAACATCAATATTTGCTCGACAATTTGACACAATCGAGTCTCGGTGACAGCGTGACGGCCGGTTAAATTCGACAATTAATTGCGCAACAGTCTGCATCGTGGTGTCACTCACACATACACACACACGTGTCATGTAAACCGTGATCGGGAAATTGGATTTGCCCGGTAGACGCGTAGGCGAGAAACGTCAAAAGCTCTTCGTCGTCGTGGCTTTCGCGAGAAGCGCGCGAGAGTACGGAGGAACCAAAGAATACGACTGTCAATCGGGGCGAATGAAACATGTGTACGTGCACATACGTGTCGCGTGTCCGTTTGTACACGTACGCAACGTGCACGCACGTGCGTGAGTAAGAAAGAAAGAAAGAGAGGACGGGCGAACGGTCGTTGTTGCTTCGCGGTATATAGGTTCCTGCCGACAAAAATAGCGTCCTGATAGCTCGGAGGAATCCTTGCCGATAAGCAGCTACTCGAAGGAAAGCTTCCGAATATATGTCCACCTGTGCGTGTATGCGTGTACACGCGTGTATACACGCGAATCTCGCGTGCATGTGAGCGCTCGTGTTCGCGAGTGCGCTCCTCTTTTATCGTTGGGTAATCGAGCGACGCCCATCACAACGAGATGGAGCAATTCTCGCGGGAATGTACACGCGTGTACACAATGATGTAATAAATAATATTTCGGATTAATTATTTCTTTCTCTCTCCTCCCCGCGATACTGCACACTACGTTCAGATACAATTCGTGACACGTGCTTTTCGGTAATGTATCGTCCTCAAACGACATATTCTCTTAACAATTCTTCTAACAACTTCTTATGTTATTTTCATCATTATTGGAACGTCATCTTAAACGAATAGGACAATACATGGAACTGATCTTGCCTCCTCCACCCTGCACTTTCTACGCTCAAGTAAAAAGTGAGATTCTCACTCCGCACTTGGAAGTAAGAAGAAGCACAAAGGATACAATTACAAAATATAAAAGTATATTCTCTCTTCTGTTATAGCGATAAATCCTAGAACTTCGGTCGTCTTTCGCGAAGTAATAGAACACCGATTTCCTTGACATTTCCTGCTGCTCCCTGACCGATTATAATTTCTCCGCGACTTTCACTTTAGCCGACTCTTTCCACTATTCTACGCGATTCTCAAGTTGTCCGACCTTCCCTCGTCTCTCGTGACCATATCTGATTTCCTTTCTTTTCCCCTCAATAATCCCCAATTATCATCGATTAACCTAACATTTATTTGTCGTTTTTTCTCGAATTTCTCGTAACAACGTCCCAAAAGATGTCGTCATTTTATCCTCCCCCTCTCTGCCCCCTCTCCACTCTTCCTCGCGTATTCCGACCGCGGCACGACGAATAATTCGTCGCGGACGTCGTTCGCCCACAACGACGACGGAAAGCTCTGAATGGGAATCGGCGAAGACGCACACGCACGCACACAGATTCGCCGGCGGCGGCGGGCCGGCTAAAAATAGCGGGAATTCGTACCTTACGGTGTGAACTCTGGAGCGCGGATTATCCTCTTTCTCTCTCTCTCTCTCTTCCTCCCTCTCTCGCTCCTTTCTCTCTTCTTCGTTCTCGTCGTCGTTCCCTGTCCGTCCTCGCGATCCCCGAGGAAATATCGTCCACCAGCGAGGACTACCGCACCGTAATTTCTCTCGCACACACACTCGGTACGGGTCTATTGTTCGTCGCGTGCCGGCCGTACGATGCCGTTTTTCGGATTTTTCTGGACGTTCGCGAGACCCGCGGCGTCTTTCCACTTCATTTTGCCGGACGCGCTCCGTGAGATGACGAGCACGACGACGACACGACGAACAGCTCCGCTGCCATCGTCTTTATTTACTAATTTTGGACGTGAACGCCGGGAACGATCGAGCACCGAGAGCTGACACTGGCGCCACGTCGCGGGCAATCAGAGTAAATACCGCACTTCGGAATCGTCCAATGAAGGTTCGAGGGTAACTAGGAGCCACTAGTGCCCGGCTACTTACTAGATCTAGGGTCATTTGGAATTTTCAGATTTTCGCACGCATCCTTTCTAGGTTTCCGTGCATCGTGATTGTTGAATCGAAATACGATAACGATATCTCGTTTGTTGTTCAAAAAAGCGGCATTTGTTGCGTAAAACATAGAGCCATGTATGTGAAATGAAGCGATGTTTTTATATAACCGATCTAGATAGGATATTATATTTGCGATGCGACATTCTTGACCTTGACCTTCTGTCACTTTATCTACAAAATGAAGAAATGATGGAACGGGGACAAATTATGACTTCATCGCTGTTATTTAAGCTAGCTTAACACTGATATTTGCTACCAAATAAGTAAATAAATTTTGTCACATTTCCCAAAACGTCCTAAATAACAAATAAATACTTACGATTAAAGATTATTTTAAATATTCGCATTCTCTGTCCCCTTTCTTAACAATGTACAAATTGTATATTTTTTTAAATTATTAAGGGATTTTTGCAACACTGTTTCTCGGATACGGCAGACGCTAAATGCATTCCGAAAGACAATATTGTAAAAACAGCCCGTATTCTGAACGCGCTTGTAACGATATTAGCGCGCTAACAAGTCAATTTATTAGTAGTTCTAAATAGGTGTTTCATTATAAAAACGTATAATTGTTACGTCCTGGAAGAGGATGAACGCAACAAAATCGTTTACTCGCGCACTCGCGAGGCCTGAACGTACTGGTAGGTCTGCAGATCAGGTCAAAGTCCGGAGAGGCCCATTTACTCCGATCGCAGAACGTACGTTAGTCCTTTATTTAGGTCAAAGAACTTAATCTCTTTACCTGGGATAGGACCATATGAGCGTGTTGAGAGGGGAATTTAGATTTAAGTAATTGAAAGGAAATGAATAAATAGTTTTAACGATTTGATTAAATTTAGTGCATTTTGAATAAAACAGTTTATTAATAACATAATTTGGTTCACGGATGGATTAATAATAGTGGTAAATTGATGAGAAAAGTCATTGTGAAAGATACAACATTTAAAAGATGAAAGGGTTAGCTAAAGTTAAACAATGAGATATATGGGTTAACATTAAACAAACTTTTATAAATCAGCATTATTGGAATAATGCAAATACAAGATGAAGATTAAAGTGAGGTTAAGGAAAAAGGTAATCCGTGTAACTTAATATAATACGATCGGATTTAACGTAACAAGAATGTTTGACGTATCGGTATGGCGAGGAAAACATAATTATATATATACAAGGAAGGTAATAATTACGCAGTGTACGTGTGTGGCTTGAGGAGTGAAGTGGGATTGGAGATTGGATTGAAATGATTAACCTGTTAACTGGGTATGACAAAATATTTCGTCATACACGAACTACTACTGCAATGGGCATGACGATATTTTTCGTCATGGAAATTTGCCGTAATATTTTGAACGCAAACAAAAAAAATGTATTCCCCGGTTAACAGGTTAAAAATCATGGTTAAATATGAAATAGAGATCTACGATTTAGATGAATCAACTGTGATGAATAGTACGTAGAACGTGGGTCCTTTGATCGTGGTGTACCAGATTTATGGGATCCCGGAATATGACTGACTACGATTAAATCGAGCGATTCTGATATTCGGACTAATTATCGGAATATTGAAACGAATATTTTAAAGAAATCCCGACTTACCCACAGCAAGTTTCACAAAACGTGGTACTGGAGAGATCCCGATCTGAACAACAAAAGTGAAGTCGTGGCGGAAGCTATAATAGTACGAACGTAAAAGATGTCGAAAATGATAATACGCGACAGTAGTTAAACGGGGAAAGAGAATGTGAATGAATGAATGAACAGTAAGAAGAATAATAACAAGAATAAGAAGACTACAAAAGAAGATTGACGAAAACTGAAGACTACAGAAGAAGACTGACGAAGGCTGACCAAGAAAGGGCTGGCGGCAAAAGAATGAGGCTTATTTAGGAAAGGTTTCAGGGAGTGGTGGATGACGATCACCAATGAGAGGAGGTTGCATGGAAAATGGTTATTCTGGAAAATTCCTAATACTATTTGGATGTCATAAATGATTCTAAGAACATAATTCTATCGAAGGGCCTTCGTTCGACCGGCTATGTACATAGGCGGATAAGATCGCAGGTCCATCGGGAGCCTTATGACGTATTTGGGCGGCGTGTAGTCGTATCATTTCCATAAAAGGGCTTGCTCAAATCTGTTTGTTTTACAATCATAAAAGTAGGAATTCGCTGGCTATCCAGGTACCCAGGATGAAGAAATACGAGGTCTGTTCAAAAAGTATCGCGAATTTTGAATTTCCGTTGGTTACGTATATTCGATTTTCGATTTTTTTGTGGCGTTATGTTGGTACTCATGTCCCTCACTTATGCCGACAAGTTCGGCCATTTTGAATATTAAGTTTATCTTTGACAGCTGTTTTGCTTACACGTGTTTTGGCTCGTCTTCGATTTTTGCCTATTCCAAAAAATGGATCAAAAAATCTATCAAATTTTGTGTGAAAAACAAAATTAAGTGCGCGGACGCATTCCGAATGTTGACTGTGGCATATGGTGAAGCTACCTTGGACCGAAGCAACGTTTATCGGTGGTACAAAATGTTCTCAGAGGGCCGAGAAGATGTGAACGACGAAGAGCGTGCCGGACGCCCGAGCACGTCAACAACAGACGAAAACATTGATGAAGTGAAGAAAATAGTATTGGCCAATCGTCGAATCACCGTTAGAGAAGTTACTGAGGATCTAAACATATCGATTGGCTCGTGCCATTCGATTTTTATTAATGATTTGGGCATAAGTCGGGTCGCCGCGAAATTCGTACCAACGCCCCTGTTCACACATCGTTGCTTGTGCGCGAATTTTTGGCCAAAAACAACACACTAATGATGCCGCAGCCACCGTATTCCCCAGACCTGGCCCCCTGTGACTTTTTCTTGTTCCCGAAACTGAAGAGGCACATGAAAGGACGACGCTACGCTACGATTGAGGAGATAAAGACGGCATCGAAGGAGGAGCTGAACAAGATCACAAAAAATGATTTTTTGAAGTGCTTCGAGGATTGGAAAAAACGTTGGCACAAGTGTATAATATCTGATGGGGATTACTTTGAAGGAGACAAAATAGATATTCATGAATAAATAAATAATTTTTGAAAAAACACAAAATTCGCGATACTTTTTGAACAGACCTCGTACGTGCCTATAGGCCGTAGAGGCGGCAAGATTATCTTAGTTATAAAAAAAAGGAATTTGTTGTTCCCAGGGTACCCAGGATGTAAATAAAACAACATACCTTACGTGAAGGCGGAAAAAATGATAGACGCGTTGGGAAGCGTACGGCACGTTTAGCGACGGCCATTGTAATCTTATCTTTATTATAGTAGCGCTTGCCCGAAGTCCGTCTGCTTCCCGAAATAGAAAAAAGGGGAGTTTGCAGTACCCGAGGCACCCAGGACGTAACATAATTATTTTTCCTAACAAAATGTTGTTACTATCGCGTTTACAGTACAGGCGATACTGAGAATGTTTGTATTTCTTAACTTGTTAGCGCGTATCGTTGTAAGCGCGTCCTGAATACGGGTCCTTACTTATATAGTTCCTTAAAATCAGATTTATAAATCTATATCCTTTCGAAAATAGATGTAAATTAACAACAACCGATGTTATAATACCGATGTAAAAGTATCGTTTACATGACATTTACATAAGGAGTTATAACTATCTTTAGTAACACAATTCATTGGCGATACATTGATTCAATATTATCCAGACAACACAAATATCAAAAATCGGGACATATCTTTTAGACATCTTATATCCTGATTTTGAATATTGTATTGTTTGGGTAGTTACATTGGCATTTATTGAGGGTATATTGAACGAATGTTACCTAATATAAAGTCAGTCAAATTACAGAAGCAGATTTCGTATAATATCTGCTATAAATTTTGTTAATAGCTTATTAGCAGAAATATAACAGGATTTGCTAGCAGAGCATGATAATAATCTATTATTTTACAGGTTTGGCTGTCTGACTGGCTTTATATCAGGCAACATTCACTCAATGTACTAAATGCCTAATAAATGCCAATATAATCAATATTGGACCAATGTATTGCTAACGAATCGTGCTATTAGGAAACTGAATTAGTTGTCATATAAACGTAAGTCATAGTTGTGTATGTATTTATATGAAAATATAAATTGTGGAGATTATATAGAAATAAATTTTCTCTACTTTTATAATGGCTATACGCGTTTATACGCCTATGTTCTATGTATTCAAGATAAAAAAAGAAAATTAAAAGAATATCGATTCCCTAAGCATAATAAATCATTCGTGGTATAATTCAACAAGGTCGATATTCTCAATATTGCAATAGTCATCGTTTTTCTCACACTAGATCTGCAATCGGTTTATCGAGAGTCAGTCTTTGACACAGTTTACATAATAATCTGTGGCCAAAGAAGAGTTACCAAAAAAATATTGTTTCCCTATAGCTGCGTTCGAAGAACACGTTATCAGCACTATTGCGTTACTCTTTTTTGATCGCTTACTAAACGTTAAACAAGATAGAACGATATAATAGCGCTAATAATATCATTTCTTTGAACGCATCAAGAGTCCTACGATTAAGCCCGAATTGTTATATAATAAGCATGATCGAGCGTTTTGTACATATATTTATCAACCACGAGATCGCAATATTCAAACTCGACGTGTACTCGCAATGATGAAGATGTACATCGCTCTTGTTGCGCTCGTTGTTCTGCTCACGTTGCCTGGCGAGTCGCACTTCACACCGAGTGCTTTTCCTACCTACGCGAAACGTACAGGTCCGTTCTTCGGCAGTGCGCAGAATAAAACGATCGTCGCGGAAACTCGGCGGCAATTCAACGATACCGCCCTGGCGAACTTTACGTATCCAACATACATGAACGAGTCCCTCTCTGAATCTTCGTCTCCCAAGAATATAGATTGCTTCGGACTGGGTAGAACAGTCGCGACGTACCTGGAACGGCTCCTCAGTAGTGAGCCCAACGGATCTGCTGCGTTGGACGTGCGATTTTCTCTGTCCTCCAGAAGACAGCCGCGTCGTGTGTATGTGGTGCTCGACGAGCAATTCAGCCTGGAATGGACGGACTTCAGGATTGAGCGACGAACGGTAATAATAGTGCATGGTTTCCTGTCGCAAGGCAATGCCGAATGGGTCAAGGATATGGAAAAGGCGTTCCTCGCATGGGTAAGTAATTAGCCGCGATATCGCGTGTATAAATGCTCATCTCTCCCGCGTCGGATTGTCCGCAGGACGACGTAAATGTGGTGGTGATAGATTGGAGTGCCGGCAGTAACACGTTGAATTATTACAAGGCCGCGGTCAACACCAGAATAGTAGGATATCAAATCTCAAAGTATGCGTGCGTGCGAGCGTGCGGTGTGAGAGCCTGATGCTTTCCTAACAAGGATACGCTACATTACATTAAGTCGTTTTCTCATTGGCTATGTATATTAATTAATTTGTGATCATTTTAAGATATTTGGACAACTTGACGACTTTGTATAATGCAGCAATCCTTGCTGTGGAAAACTCATTCTAGTTACACGGACGATACAAGAAAGTTCAAGAGATGTCTGACAAGGTGCCTGAAGAAAATTAGGCGGACCGATCTTTCGATTTTCATAAAATCGAGAAGACTTTAAGTTATATTTTTATTAATTTCAATTAACTGTATTTAAATATCGAGTCATCCTCCAAACTTATTGTAACATCCCTTTCTCTTCCAAGCAACGCAACAGTGTCTAAAACACAAAATTTAAAGATATCGGAAGTCTTAGATATTTCCATTTCCATTGCCTATGTTTAATCATTTTTTATCAAACATCTTTTGGACGATCTTGTGCTATCGATTTGATTGTCTCTTAATATCAACTCGCTCGCGAAGATTGATAGAACAGTTAGCGAACGCTACGATCAACGCCAATGGGCCAGACACGAGCAATTGGGGCCCTTTGCACCTGGTAGGGCACAGCCTCGGTGCTCACATATGTGGGTTTGCCGCGAAGGAATTGAAGAAGCGGCACAACAAATGGCTTGTGCATAGAATCACAGGTTTAGACCCAGCTCAACCCTGCTTTAGGAACACCGAATCGACAGTTCGTCTGAGCAGGAGTGACGCTCCATTTGTCGATGTGATACATACAAACGCAAGATTTTGCATGAGTTTGGGATTGGGTTTTCCTGAACCTATAGGTAATTTATCATATGGTAACACGATTTGTATATATACGTACATTCATGAACGCGACTTTCTTATATGATAAATCTTCTCAACAATGTTCAAGATGTTAATTATTTAAGAACCAGTTCTAATTTGATCGAAACTTAAGAATATCTAGTTATATCTTTGAGAAGAACTTAAGATGAGTCTAAAAAAGGAACTATCGCAAATTCGGCGTTTCAAATCGATTATATATATATATATATATTGCACAATAGTTTACTTCAAAACTCGTCTACAAAAGAAAAAGAAATCTGTTAATAAAAAGAGAAGTGCCACAAATCTGCGGGTGGATTTTACGATATATCATTACGTCTTAGTTGCATGTATAAAGTATATAAACTACTTGTATATATTAGATATATGAGTTCCAATGACTTCCCTAATTAATATTCTCTTTTTTATTCTCCTTTTAACACCCTTGTTGCAGGCTACGTTGATTTCTACCTAAACGGTGGTAAAATGCAACCTGGTTGCAGCAAGAAAAACCAATCGTCGTCGATCTTACGGATCCTACAGATTCCCGCAGACGGTTAGTAGTTAGTGGTCGAATGATCGTTATTTAAAAGAAGAAACGTTATTGTGAAATGCGTTATAAAATTCTTAGCAATAAAACGGGCGATATGCAGTCACGGACGTTCCTATGAATACTTCACGGAATCATTAGTATCTGCGAGCATGCCCAATTGCACCTTTGGGGCATATTCTTGGGACTTGACGTACAAACATCTGTCGCAAACAATCGGTTCATGCGCTAATGATACCTGCACGGAAATGGGTATTCGAGCTGAATTCTACAACAAACGCGGAACGTTTTATGTAGCTACTCGTGGTAGTAGTCCCTATTGCAGTAAGTATTACTCGTATTGTACAATAATCGTTCTCATAGTAACACTATTATTATCGTGGCGTCACTTTGATACTTTTGCAGTCAACAGCAGCGACATCATTGACGAGGTGAGAATGCAACTGGAACAGGATTACCAAGACGAAGCCGAAGATTGAAAAGATACAATAACCGTTAGTTAGACAAGTTACTCTATTTGTAGATAAATGCGCTGTCAACTCCATCGTGTACAATATGCTTAAATAATCGATGTATTCGTATATTTACAGTTGGAAAGTCTCGCATAGTACAAATAATATTTACAGTGTCCTCGTGTTTGTTTGAACGCGCATTTCTATCGTCTTTATGCGCGTGCAAACAGCCGCGATTTTCGCTGTTCCAAAAATCGATTATTTCTTTGTGTATATTATATATATATATATATATATATATACACAAGCGATTTTATTTCTGAATAAATTAAAAAAACAAAAATACGATAACTTGGTCTTAAACATGACATACGATGTACATGTATACAGTGTGCTTGAAAAATATTCAGAATAATTTCAAAATATATCGATAGTCCTGAAAAAAAAATCATGAGCATGAAGTAAGATGTGATCGCAATTATCGTGTTGAAAAATAAAAATATACTAGCTGCAAAGGGTCGATGTAACCTTGTGCTAGCGAAATAGTTTCGATAAGATAATATCGCGATTATTTTGTAAGCTTCATCTCGAGATTTAATCGTTAGGCTAAACGATGATCGTGTAGCATTTACGGATTACGTATAAAAATATCAAGACGGACTTGTAGGATTTTTCATTTTCGTCATGATGCTTGAGAGAGAGAGAGAGAGAGAGAGAGAGAGAGAATGTGTGTGTGTGTGTGTGTGTGTGCGCTTGATTCTCTTCTTGTTATACGCGTGAATATAAAAAAATATATCGTTCATAGCAACGCGAAATTTCTACAAGACTCATTGTGCTTTTCAAACATATTGTATATCTTTAACAAGAATAGACAATCAAATTTCACATAGAAAATACATCCGAAGTTTCGTATAAAGTTCGGGATCTCTCTCTCTCTCTTTATCTCTCACTTTCAGAGCGTTATAAATAAACCGTCGCAGCGGTACGAACGATGCAAGTGTGAAATAAACGCGAGTAACAACAACACGACTAAAATATTTCCGCTTTCGCAGAACATTCCGGTGTGACCATCTCGCACGTGGATGGTAACTACTATTTGGTACTAATTCTCCAGTCATTCTATCCCGATACTCGACTTTGCGCGCGTGAATTAACCGTCACGTTATTGGCACATTATGATACTCTTACCTAACTTTTAGCGAAACCAAACGGAAGCTGCTGCGTGAGAGGAGGACCTGCGTCGTCATGCATCCGCGAGTATTAACGAGTTACACTCGACGATACGGAGAGTATCGTCTCGGACTCGAGCGCGTCAATGAATGACTTGGACGTAAGTGGCGGGAAATATGCCGGTGCGGCCTCTGCACTCGCCTATCCACCAGCCATCCGCCTGCTTCTGATGGACGGTTATCAAATCGCCCGGGCTGAGGCTCAGCTCGTCGTTCAGATTCGCGGAGTACTGATAGATCGCGCGACATTGCTCCGCACGTTCGGCCTTCGCCGTCACCTCCGCCCCGTCGACGTCCTGGTTATTGTTATCCTCCGAGTGGCTGCTAAACTCATCAAAGTCGCTGAAGTCGTCCTCGTCCGGGGGATTCTCGGAGTTGCCATCGCCGGCCGTCCGATCGGCCCAATCGCGGGTCTCGGCGTCCTGGTCCTTCGTCAACTGCATCTCCAACTCGTCGTCGCCGTCCTGAATCTCAAAGGATTCGTTCTTTGCCCAAGAAGGAATCTGCAAACATAAAACGTCATGTAGTTCTGCACGATGTTCCTTTCATTCTTAGCAATGTGTTTCTGTATCAAAATCAAGCTCAGAATTAAATTAGAATCGCCTTATAGATATAGTAAGTCCTTAATCTTTTGCTTTAAATACTAAATTATTAACGCAATTTCTAGCAAAAAATATTTCTAAAAAATGTAAGCGCTGTTACGACTTTTGGCATCACGGAAAACTCCTCTTGTCGGAAATTACGTTACATTTTCTTGCTTAGAGCTAAAGGCTTACTACATCTATTGTATATTCGGATTAAATGGTCATACCTTAAGAACACTTTGTTGCAAGCCTTGTTTGTCTCTCGAGACCAAGATATGTTCCGATAAAGGATGCTTGGATCGTTTGCTGCCCTCTACTTCCGCGAGCGTACCGCTGACCTTGTATCTGGCCGCCTCCAAGTACAGTAACATCGAGCGCATCTGCGAAAATAACAGCAATTACACGGTAACTGCGATTGATGAGAGATTAAATTCATAATCAGATAAAATCCGATATCAGAAACGAAGATAGCTTACGTGATGCAATTTGTCCGTCACGTTCTGTGTGCTCTCGTCCGCAGCGAAAGCTGGTGTCTTGATGAAAGCCCGATGCAACGTCTCCAGCCCTTCACGGCCCCGTTTCTCCCTTTCCAAGTCCTGTCTTATCAGATGCAACACCCTCACCAGAGCCTGCTTTCGCCGTTCACGGTTCATCGCGAGCGTGACGTGCTCGGCGTAGAAATCAGGCAACAATTGTTCCGCGTTCGTCGCGTCGTTACTGTCTATTCGGCGTATGAGGTTTTTCAGGATCTCGACGTCCTGCGACACGTTGCAACTGCGCACGGGTGTCTGCAGGCGATCCGCGCTCTGAACATGAGAACGTTTTGTGATCAATCCGGACTCGTAATTTCGTCTCTTACAATGAGCTCGTTAATTGCTAAAAATAACGTCTGATAATTTCGAAATTATAATCTGTGAGTGCCTTAGCAGAAATTGGATTTTGTGAGTGTTTAACCACGAAATAGTAAATTTGTGTCTAACGTTGCTACTAGCTAGTAATGCAACATTTGTTTCTCTTTGTGACTATATAATGGTTGGATTGATAAGTTAGTAGATGAGGTTAAAAGAAATTACAGTTAAGAGATGAAGAATCATAACCAGTTGCCAGACAATAACGTAACGTTCACTTTGGCTTCCTTTTTATAGAATAATATACTCTCAATCTTGATTTGCTACCTCATTTTTAAACGTCAGTGGCGAGTATATAATAGCTAGATTATATATTTTAGAATTGACAGCGCCATCTGTCATATTTGATACGCGATGGCTGGACAACGGCTAGATAACGAAACCGATTTCACATTTCAATGAATGATCAGCCAGAAACGAACTGGTGACGAGCTGGAAAATGTCATTTAGCCTGTACTAGCTAGCTCCCAGTTCTTGGCTCAGCCTGATTAGATACATTTCCGCTCAGGCAGAAGTTCGCTTCACGATGAGCCTTCTCGAGACGAGTTGAATACGCAAAGTATAGTAACGCTCATAATGGAAAGGAAATTTTCCTTCCATCAGGCGACAGGCGTGCAAAACTTTCGCGAAAAGACGGTTCTTGTCTCAATAGTCATCGCAAGATGACTCATCGTAAAACCTCATATTCAACCTCGAGCGTTATAATCAATCTTCCATCGTCGCGTGTGCGACGCGCATTACCTGTTGCAGTCGCGGCGCGAGCGCTTGCAAATGTGCCAGAAACACATTGGCCAAGTCCTTCAAGGCACTCAGCCGCTCCTCCTCGAGCAGCTCCATCTGCTTCGCGCCCTTCCTGACGGTGCCCTCGTACTCCAGTCTGGCCCTCTCGGCCCTCACGCTCACCGTGTAAAACTCCGTGTCGGCTCTACGCGACGAGTCCTCGGCCTTCCTCCGCCTGGTTTCCAGCTTGCTCGCCTCTTTCTCCGTCATGTGATGACTCGACGACTTGGTGTTATTGTTCTGCTGACTCTGACTGATGGTCTGCAGCCGTGCCAAGTCCTGCAGCCTCTCGTTCTCGCGGGCGCACGCGAAGCTGTGCTTCTTGCTCTTGGAGGCGATCCCGCGCCACTCCTGGAGCGCCTTGGACGCTTTGTCCACCGAGTTCTCGATGGACTTCCTCGAGCGGCCCTGCGCCTCCGCGACGCCCACCTGAAACGAGCGCGTCCTTTCGTGAACTCTCTGTGCCGATTCCGGGAAGCGAGATCTCACGATTGATGATCTTGGTGATCTTCGAGATTCGTGATGTTCGGCAATTCTATGCACTCTTGTGTCTCTACATCGAAGATTCTCCTCGCGAAGAGAAAGTCGGCTCGAAACTCGCCGTGAAATACGCGCAGAGGAGAATGGTCGAGACAAGCGGCGATCTTGTGGAAAGTTATTAACTGAACATTTGCAACTTGCTATCTACTCGTCGGTTAAATATGCACGAAGCTAAGTCCTCAAGAGAGTGCATTGTACCGACTCTCACAAGGTACTAGGGGCAACAACTAGGTGGCCGATGAGAGCTAAACCGCAGTTATTTATATATTAACTCTATATGACTCCATATTTTATATCTGTTTAAATATTATTTAAATATAATAATATATATATAATTATACAGAGTGTTATATATACAAGATATACCGTCCAAATTTAAGGAACATGTTTCGGATACAAATTAAAATGATTCGAAATGATTATTCATCTAAAATTTTATCTTTATAAATAGAACAATTTTTTGGAACATTTTTTATTAGAAATGAAAAAAAAACATAAAGATTAAAAGTTTTAGCATATTGTTTATAATACATTTTCTCTACTTCAGTTTACATTAGAAACATGCTCGTTAGGTTTGTACAGTACGTCATGTAACACTCTATATAATAATAATAATAACAATAAAAGATATCTATTATTAAATAAGATATATAATAATATAATAATAATCTTTCTATATATCTTTATTAATATATTTTTTATATTTATCCATTTTTAAGTGTAATTATATTGATATTACGTTGATCAATCAATACGCTGTTATTGGTCGAACAACGCGACAATAAGAAGATTTGCGCTCAAACACGCATTGCCTCTTATCGACTCAATCAATTGTCGCGCTCATAGATAAATCTTCGTTCCAAAGGCGCGACTTCATTAGTCGAGAGTGATACTTCCTACTTTAACGCGGTTTTTTACAACGGTCGCGCCTGGGACCACACGGTGGTTGCGTAAGCGCAATTGCGCGCCGCCTGACGTCACTTTTTCCCTCGAAGCCCCCTCGCGCGCTTTTGCAATACGCGACGCGTAATTATCTGCCGTAAGTCGGACTTACTCGGAGCGGTTTGGCGAGTTGCTCGCTGAGCGCGATGCCCCACACCCTGTGGGCTTCCGCGGCAGCCTCCATCTCCTCGCCGACACACCTCCATGCTTCGTTCACACCTCCGCTACTATTACCACCTGCATTATGAAATACACTCAGAAGACGATCTCTACGCGGCCGTCGTCCAACACCGAAATATCTCATTGGTATCGATAGATACAATAATTACGCGATCGAAGAGAAAATGAAATGAATTCAACTTGGCATTTCAGTTCTGATACTGAGTGTGTTTGTTGAAATTTTCGCGAGTTGAAAATATTGCCGAAAGTAAATGCAGAGAAATGAGAAATGGAAGTTTCTTAGAAGAAACAGAAACGGAAGTTACATGTAGGATTCAATCGGATATCTATCTATGAAGCGACCAAAACTTGCGTGGAACGCTCAAGAACGATCAGCTTGCAACCGCGTATCGCGAGTACCGAACGCGTTAATTTGATAAATTATAGTGGTGGTAAAATTCGCGGAAGTAGAACGCCAATAATTACCTTGATCCTTGGCGCATGCTTTCGTCAGTTTACTGCTGAGCTTGCTCAGTCCTTTGGCGTAAGTGGCTTCTAATTCAGCCCTGAGATCACATTCTCGTATTACTTCCGTGTTTTGGAAAATCGCTCGCATGAGATCGGTAAAAGATGGCACAGATTATAATAAGGTGGCCAAATTATAATACCTTTCGTGAAGAATCGACGCTAGTTCCTTGCAGAAGTCGCCTCCTTGTTTGACGTATCTTCGCACGTCCTCGAAACCGCCTTGTCCTCCCTGCACGCGACAGAAGAATAAATTAGAATGTTGCGCAACGAGACCAGCGGACGATGAGACTGGTTCGTGTTTTGCAGTATACATTACAAGAAGAAAGGAAAAAAAACAAGCGGAACTGTTACAGAGTCCCGTTGCTCCTTCGATTTTTATCAAAATAATCCTAATGTTCGCGCGGAACAGGATGTGGAGGGAATTTGTACGGAGGCAGTGAATAGTAAATAAAACGAGTAAATAAAACTGTATTGACAATTATTGACACTTGACAATTATAGCACAGCGCGCCGGTTATGCCGAGTCGCTGACGAAACATTGTTTCAAATTGCGCGGTACCACGACTTGATTTCCGATTCACGAGGCAATATTCGCGCGCGGCTTTGAATTGACGCGAAAGGCAGAATCACCGTTGTGATTCGCGCAACAATAGAACGCACTGTGTTGAAGCTACGAAATCTTCCCCCGAAGCTATTACACGTTGAGATTCACTCGGTATGCGGACGTCGAAAATTTCACGAGAGAAAGCTTACAGTGCGCAATACGAGTAAAATTCAAAGCGGGGTAAAGTCAACAATAAAAAAAATCATAAAATGCGAAATAAACACTGATTTCTACGTAATTTTGATTTTTGACGAGCAAGGGGAGATAAAGGACGATGATAAAAAAATCATTTATGGTAACATGCGACTGTAATGACATTAATTATCGGTTTCTCCTTTCATTGTCTCACGTTAATTATCGTATATTATCGACTTCCGATAGTTATCGATCGTGAAGAGACGTTCAGACGATGTCCCGGAAGGAACTGCCAGCTCACGTCGTCTTCGAAAGAGACAAAAATCTGAGCCTCGTTCGGCTCCACGCTTGAATACACACTCGGCCCTCGAGGGAAACGCATGAAATAGCGGTAACCACGCATCGCGGCTCACCAGATGCAACACTAGCGCTGAATTATACGATACCTTCTTTCATGCGGCCACACTAAGGCGACCCATGTTCTCGACCACGTGCTTTGCTCACGATCGGAATTCGGTAAACAACAGGTACACAGTGTTTGCAGATGTGCAAGAACCATGTACTGTTGCTAGGCGCTTCAATTCTTCAACGGCAGAAAGCAGAATTCCACGACGATTCGACTGTGACTTCGTGAAGGAAGTGCAAAGAAAATGGAAAGAGACAGATTCAAAATTGAAATCTCGCGAAAATGTAATCAAAATCGAGGAATTACTTCAGAAATATCATTGAGATTGAAGAAAAATTATTTTGAGAAATATCAATGAGAAAGATAAAGAGGGAAAATATAAGTGCAATAAGGCCACGGTGCTTGTTGAATGTATGCAACTGTAACGCGAGATTTCTTGTAATACCCGCCGCTTATTATCGTCTCTGTTAACATTTTTCTGTCATTAGAGCAGATGGGTTGCGTTAGTCGCGGTAGAAGACCAGTGCATGTCATTATCCACTTCATCTAGTCATTCGCCTCATTGCTGTTATGTGTTCACTTAGCTTTCTCGTATACTTGTTGCGCGAGATTATCGCAAACGGTACTTACAAAGCTGCACGAACGGTACTAATATTTTGTTTATAAAGCACGTCGGTTATGCAAACGCGATCGCTCGAATTACGGAAAGTATTATCGATCCATAAAGGAGCCAGACCTCACATCTTGAACTAAACATTCTCTTTATTCCTTCAAGAAAAAAATTCTACATTCCATTTTTAAGATAAATAAAATTCAAGCGAATCAATAAATAAATTCTAGAGTTGTTTGTTTCAAATATATAAATATTATAATAAAATAAAATAACAAACAGATGTATTTAATCCTCTTAAAGGGAATGTCTCATCCGAATATCTTGCATTTTAGAATCAGCGAACTCTAATTAATGAATTATTACGCCTCATAAAGAAAGAGCGAATACTTTAACAAAAATATGTTCATTTAGTACTTACGAGAAACGCTTTAGACTACAAATGAATCGCAAATTGGTGTTATTGTTCCTGTTTGGTTCTTCTGTTTCGCCGTAAAAGCGATGTGAAAGCCGGCATCGCGAACCCGTAAAATTAGCAATTAAGAACAACGATGTTAAAAGGCGGCGGACCGGTTCGTCTGGTAATTGGGCTCGCAAAATTTTGACGAAGAGATCACATCATCACGTCGCGAGAGCGGAATAACTATCGACCCTCCCACCACGATTCGCTAGAAATTACACACCCAGAACAAGTACAAGTAAAGCACACGAGTGTTACTCGAACACGCGTTACCAAACCCTTTTGTATTTTAATGCGGCCGCGCCTGCGGCCGATGACGTCTCGATTACGTCGGATCCTCCCGGGGGAAAGGAAGCTCCTTTTTCCACTAGGAAGCCATCATCTCAGGAAGCCAACGGAACGATAAAATCGCGGGACACCGATTATAATGGAAAGCCCCCTCTGCCCCTCCCCTTCCTTTGTCCAATCGCGGCAGAAATGTTCCCGCGGCTATCGGATGGCGCTCTTTCTTTTTCGTTAGCGGCGCGTTCGTTGACTGGCGCTTGAGATTCGGATTAAAGTTTAATCACGACCCGAGGCGATCGTAGGTGAAAGTGAGTATTAACTCGATGGGTTTCTGCGAAGGGAGGCGGGGAGAGCTGCGTGGTAATTAGTACGACTCGGATGTGCACGGACGAATTAGGTGAAATTGTTATTTGCGAATTTGCGATTGCGAGAGCCAGCTGCCTTTCTGCGCAGCTAATGGAGCGTGACGTGTTAAGTGCGATCGGCGATTGTCAGTGGGACGAATTTCCGTCTTGGTCTTTTACATCGGTAATAGATCGCGAATCGTAGGTGGATGCGAATCGTAAGAAGCCCGAGACGCTGGTGAATTAACCAGCGTGTGTGTGTATTTGTAAATTCTTACTTAGTACTTACTTAGTACTTAAAAGCTTATAGTAGATAGCTTATGTGGGAAAGATATAAGGTATATTTCACAAAAATAAGGCTTATTTCTGTCAAATAAGCCTTATATCTCACAAATAAATGTAAATAATTTTAAATACTTCTTTCTCAGTGCGAGGACATTGATGTCCTCGTGACATCAATACCACATATAAATTTTTAAGTATTTTTTTCTCTATACGCTTCGCGATGTGAACAGAAAAGATTGTACGTTCTTTATCTCTCTCGATTGTTTTCAAGGATTAATTATACGACAAGTGTTATATATGTATTCTGTTAAGATAACGTTACCTCGAAGTAGTGGATTTATCCGTAATTTCATTCCGCGTGGTAATATCCTTTTCACACATCTTTACGACAGTCTTTGCTAAGAAACTATTTTCACAAAAAGCAATACCACATTGAAAAAAGTACCGTGCAAGTAATATTTACTTAATTCAGGTAAAATGGTTATATTAATATTCCTTGGCAAATATTTACTAGAAGCAGAAATTAACTATAATACAATAACTAATAATACAATAACTATATACAATATGATATACTTCTTCGTGCAAGTAAACATTCACTCGTACGTGTTAAAATAATTGCGATACGTATTAAATTTAAAAAATCGAGAATATGAGAATTCATTTTTAGAAAATATTTACTCGATAGAAAAATCTAAATTCAAAACCACTAAGTTTTTCTAATGGAACAGAAATACACGGAAACAGTATTGTAATAAAAATTATAACACAAGTTTTGTAATGTTGGGCCATACCGGAATTATAACTGAAATTATGATGTATATTGTCGTCTTTAGTGATATACTTCATTGTACACATCACTAAAGATTGCAACACACATCATAATTTCAGTCATAATTCCGGTATGGTCCAACATTACAAAATTTGTGTGTGTGTATGTGTGTACGTGCGTGCGTGCGTGCGCGCGCGTATGTGTTTGTGCGTGTGTATGTGTGGTAATTTCTATTAGAATATTTTCTCGATGTACTACATAATTCTAGTAAATATTCAAGTTTAGAATTATTTTACAGTTATATTCAATAATTATATTCATTTACAGATTAAGATATTACTGCGTTCACGTATTCACTGCAAGCCATTAAAATATAAGCTGTGTTCGGGGAACACGCTATCAGCTCTAACGCGTCGTTTTATTTTTGTCTCTCATTAGATATACGACAAAGATAGGATGATTCGTTAACGCTGATCAGCGTTAAAAGCTCCGAATGCACCCTTAAATTGATAAGAATATTAATTTCTGCCATTTCTTTCCTTTTTTTCTGTGCACGCCTTCGAAAATCTGAAGATAAAGATGAACAACGCAAAACAAATTCTTCCCTCACCTTTCCGCAAACCATGGTATATGTCACATTGCAAAACGCTATTCTTCATTGTTTTACATAATTCGCCAATTTCTCGCGTTCGCGGAGATACTTCTGGGCGGGTAAGTTACATCGCTGCAGACACGACATTTGATCATCGTGCGTAATCAGATTATGTAATATCGGAATGCAGCGTGATACTGGTCAACGACGATATTACATTTCCGTCATCCGCATGTCTGCATACAGTCACGATTAAGGCGCGTAAACGTTACGTAAGACGCTAAAAAGTCGCGCCGACAAAGTCGTAGAGCGAACCGGGAACAAAGTTCGGATTTCCATTACGACACCTCCCCTGGCTTCACGGCTTGTACGACTAATCGATATGACACCCACGCGTCGTTTCTCGTCGAGCTTGCGAACGGTACGACAACGAGGAGCGTCTTCGTGCCGTCTATGAACGTTGTACGACAGCCTCCTACACTGATAGAAAATTATAGTTAGTTTTGACGTCATACACATCTTTTAATCGCAAAAATAATCGGGAGAACCGTTTTTCCAGTAAAAGTTATTATAATGTCAATGATAATAATAACCTTACATGCATGTTGCTGCTACTGTAAAATATGTTTGACGTCGATACTAACTATAATTTTCTATCAGTGTACGTTAAAAAATTGATTGTTGTTATAGCCAATAATCAAAGAAAACAGGGAAGAAAAACTCTGTATATCAAATT